CCACACGTGGGCAAGATGCCTCCCGCGAGGGAGACCACACATGGGCAAGATGCCTCCCGCGAGGGAGACCACACGTTGACAAGATGCCTCCCATGTGGGAGACCACACATGGGCAAGATGCCTCCCGTGAGGGAGGCCACACGTGGGCAAGATGCCTCCCACGAGGGAGACCACATGTGGGCAAGATGCCTCCCGCGAGGGAGACCACACATTGACAAGATGCCTCCCATGTGGGAGACCACACATGGGCAAGATGCCTCCCGCGAGGGAGGCCACATGTGGGCAAGATGCCTCCTGTGAGGGAGACCACACATTGACAAGATGCCTCCCATGTGGGAGACTACATGTGGGCAATACGCCCCGTGTGAGGGCAGAGGGTATGGCACCAGGCTCTGTAGGCTGGGCAGAGGTGCATGCTCCTTATGGCCGACTATAACAACCTAACACGTAAGCCTCACCAATGCCCTATCACTGCTGCTCATTCAGATTTGTGGTGTCACAGAAATAGAAAGGTTTCTGAGCTTGGAACTGTAAGACTGGGTTTGAATGCCAGGTCTGTCATCTGTGAGTTGGTACCAGTGAACAAAACCACTTAACCTCTCTGACGATCTTCCTTTATTTGGTAAAACAACTATGACGTCTGCCTCCAAGAGGAAGGCCCTAGCTTAGCAGCAGTAGCAGCAGCAGCAGCAGCAACAGTATGTCCACATCAAAAAGTGCCACTGGGCCATGCCACAGACATGTCTCTTTAAATACACACACACACACACACACACACACACACACACAGAGTGAAGAGACATTAAAGATGAAATCATATGAAGACTGCTCCAAGAAGTCTTGCTTCATAAACACCTGCATATGGAACAGTTCCCACTAAACTTAACATGTCCTTGCCACTCGCTGGTGAAGGTTACCCTTGCTCAGTTTTGACTATCTTGCCCATTCAGACTGGATGCACACTCTCATGTGGTCTGGTACAGTGTACACTTTAAGAAGGAAATGGTTTAAAAAAGGAAATGGGATCTGAGGAAGGGAGTAGGAAGCAGGGCATGCATGAAGATTCTAACTGATTTCTCAACACAGAAATAACCCAACTCTCCAATAACCAGATAGGCTTCCCAATACAGCAAGAAGGTAGCACCATTCCTGCCAATGCCAACATTTCTTCAGTCTGTAGTTACTGGTACAGACAAAAGGAACATTTAAATTGTCTCAGGGACAATCTGAAATGAAAACAACACAATGTCTTTTCCCTGATATCCCCTCTCAGATTATTTAATATTTACTTATCTTCACAGTTTATTTTAAAATAATTGAGCTCATTTCCCTGAGAAAACTTTAAGGATTTGAGGTGATTTTTGTTTCTTCTGTTTTGTTTAGCTCTTATCTTCTCATTTTTCTTCAATGATCATGTTTTTAAAAAGGTTAAGTATAATTTTTTAATGAATGACTTACCTCAATAATTCTGATAATATCCCGTGGACCGATAATTTCTGGATCAAATTTAACAAGGGCTTTACTGGTGGCAAGGGCCACAGAGGCATAGGTGATGCCATTTGTCCTTGTGAGCTTGGACTCAATGGTGTGGACACAGGACGTGCAGGTCATCCCCGTAATCTGCAACACAGGATGGCAAGAATCCCACAGACACAAGGTCAAGACGAGTCTATTGTCAAAGCCACTCCAAGGAGTCTGCGTAACAGACAGCTATGAGACTGCTCCCCACTCTAACACCATTCCCAAGACTCCAGACCCCCTTAACTTGCAGCTCCAATAATAAGGAACCTTCACTGTCTCAGGCATCTGGCTGGGACAGTAACTGCCCCCAACAAGGAGACTTCACAAGCCACACTCCGCTCTGTCTCAGGCATCTGGCTAGGACAGTAACTGCCCCCCAACGAGGAGACTTCACAAGCCACGCTCCACTCTGTCTCAGGCATCTGGCTGGGATAGTAACTGCCTCCAACGGTTAAGGATGTGCACCTCTGCAAAACCCTCTGAGCTCCTGGAATCCTCCCTATAATCCTGAGTGTCACTGGCATGTGGTCTGCAGCTGCTGCTGGGACCCTTTCTATTCAGTGCTCTGCTGGGTCCATGGGTGGCTATGTCAATACCATATTATCCCCAGGAGGAAAGGACTTAGGAAGGGACTGAGGGAGAAGATAGGTCAGGGATGGCTCCAAAGTGTGGACAGGGTATTACCAGACCAAGGAGAAGGTGAGGTCCAGCAGGCAAACTTGGGAGTGCACCTGCTGGCACCTCTACGCTCCCCTTTTACTTTTCCAGCAATAACAACATACTTCCAATGTGCCGAGTACTGTCCCAGTCACTGTGCTGCCCGCACCAACCCCACAGGTAGGTCTCAAAACTGTAGTTTTAGGAACTCATCCAAAGTTACACAACCAGGAAGGGGCAGAGCTGAGCAACTCCAGTCTGCTGCTGGAGGGAGCCTTCACAGACCAAACCAAGAAGTGACCGTGCAGTGAGGCAGCCACACAGCAACGGACAGGGCCAGAACTCAAACCCAGCTGGAGCCGATGCCACTACAGCCACATCATGCTGTGCATCCTGACACGAGAAAAGGAGCCCGAAGGGTGGCCTGCCCATCCTGGGGCACATACCAGGAAAGTCACTCTTCTGAGTAGCAGCACTTAGCACTTCCTAGAATACTAAAATGCCTGTGACCATGTGATGATAAAATATTGATAAAAGTTATTTAAGAAGTTATTAAAAAGTAGTTTTTAAAAAAGAAACTGCAATAAAAAACTGTTGAAAAAAAGTTTTCAGGGCAGAGCCCATGGCTCAAAAGGGTAGGGTGCCAGCCCCATATGCCAGAGTGGCGGGTTCAAACCCAGCCCCAGCCAAAAAACAAACAAAAACAAGTTTTCACCTTTTCCAGTAATACCCCTTGCTTTAGATTTTCCACACAGTACTCTGAGATATCTCGTGTGGAACGGGAGGTTTGCAGTGAGCGCCCCTGCACCTCTTCCTGACTGACACAGCTGTACCCTCCACACCCAGGAAGTACTGTTGGACAGCAGAGGAGCCACTCGGCAGAGAATGCTCACCCGGAACTCACAGGCCACTGTGTCCTCAATCACTGACTCAGCACTGATGGTAGAAAATTCTCAATGACCAAATGCACTAAGGCAGTGGTTCTCAACCTTCCTAATACCGTGGCCCTTTTAATACAGTTCCTGTGGGTCACAACACACAGGTTGAGAACCGCTGCACTAAGGGGTAGAAACTCCTCTTGCCTCAGTGGAGCAGCATTGCTCAGTTCTCTGTGGGTTCTTCTAAGATTCCCTTTGTTTACACAGAGAACTGTGTGCTTTCACACATAGCATGTTCTAGATACCAGACGCACCTGTTGTTTTCAATGATTTGTGATATGTGCAGCTGGTAACATCAGACAATGGGAAACAACATTTCTCCACCCATCCTGGGAACCACCACCCCCTTCGGCGCTCCCCTCAGACTGTGTGTGCCTGGGTACAGGCCTTCTCCATGTTAGAGGAGCTTCTACCATGCAGCCTCACCTCTTCTGCCTCAAGATGCCTGCAGGCACGTGAGCTCCTCTGTAGGCTTGAAGGACTGTTTATACTCAGCCTCCCTCAAACCACCCAATTCGAGACAACCTGCTGCTTTTAATTCCTCCTTCTCCTATACTCTTGCGTGTCACCACCACTTTTTCCTGACATTCTAGATGCTCTCGGTGCAGTGTCTCCTGTGACTGCTGACATAAATGACCTCCCTGCACAGAATGAATGAGTTGTTGCCCTCAAAGGAAAACAAAACAAACCAAAAACCCAGCAATAACAAACAGGACAGATCCCATGTGGGGGAAACTGGCTAATCACAAAGATGATCGCTGCCAGAAACTTACCTATGACTTGTCAGAAGCCTGCAGCCCCTGATGTAACCATCATACTTACAATCAGCTCGATGTCGCCATTGCAGCCTGCATAGTCCTCCATGACGGCAGCCTCAAATCCCAGGTCTGTGATGAGCTGAGCTATCCGGGGTGGCTGGATGACTTCTGGATTATACTTGACTTCTGCCTTTCCCGCCATCAAGGCAACCAACACGGAGAGAACACCTGAAACCACCAGGTCATGGGTGTAACGCTCTGGGAAGGCCTCCGGATGACATGGCCAACATAACCTAATAAAGACAAATGTCTTCCCAGAAACCTCTAGTTGGTGGCTCCCAAACTTGGCTGCACATTAGGATTGTTTCGGGGGCTTTTAACAGTTGTAGTTAGAATCTCTCAGTGTAGGTACCATTGACTCTAATATATAGGCAGTCCCCAGATTATGAACAAGATAGGTTCTGTAGGCTTATATGTAAGTTGGAACAGGCACATTTACTTACTACCTAAGACAGCCCCCATCTCTAAGGGCAAGTTCTATGTAAGTCAGATGTTTGTAACTCAGGGACTGTCTACACAGACAAGCTTGAGAAACACTATTCTAGAACAATGCTCCTCAAACTGTTACGGGCATATGAATACCCAAGGACCTTGTCAAAACAGCTTCTGACTCATTTGGTCTGGGATGAGGTCCCAGATTCTGCATGTCTACCCAGCCCAGGTGATGCCCATGCTCTGGCCCATGACAAAAGCTCTGAGTCAGGCTTAGAAGATACCCAGGTGCACAGAAGCTCACACAGTATTCGCCCCTAGAACTCTGCAAGGCTGAGGGGGAGAGATTGCTTGAGCTCCCAAGTTCAACAGCAGGTTGAGCAAGAGTTAGACCCTATCTCTTCTAAAAATAGAAAAACTAGCTGGGCATTGTGGCAGGTACCTATAGTCCCAGCTACTTAGGAGGCTGAGGCAAGAGAATCACTTGAGCCCAGTCAGCAAGAGTTTGAGGTTGCAATGAGCTATGATGACAGCATAGCACTCTACGTAGGGCGACAGAGCAAGACTGTCTCAAAAAAAGACACCCATGAAGCCTTCAACTACTCTGACAGAAAGGATATGCTTTTTTCCTCTAGATACCTGCATATAAGGAGAATAATTTTCAAAAGTGGTTTTTCTTACACTTTTTCCATTTCTAATAACTTTCAGGAGTGAAAAAGAAGTTTCAGACTATCTTGCTAATACTATTGTGTTAGCTTGGAGGGGGATGGAGGGTGGAGAGAAATCTCATTCAAATAAATGAAAGGAATGATGTGCTTTGGAAAGCATGCCATAGAGATAAAAATGGATGATCCAAGTTAGGAACAGAAACACAGGCATCGGGGGACTACAGGTTACTTTTATGAGCAGCCAGCCCTGGAGTGAGAAAGGCACTAACTCCTCCTAGTGACACCTCAATTTGAAAACAGTCATCCTGGAGCTCCAGGAAACTACAGCCTTGCAGAAGAGTCCAACCACAGCCCATAGCTGGCTCTGAATGGTTATCTGTGGTGACAGAGATCATGAAAATCATGGGCATCAGCTTCCATGTTTGCTCGTCCACGAGCATTCACAGCCAGCTGTAGGCCTCAGGTGAAAAGGATGGTAAACAAGAGGCTAGAAAACTGTATCACCAAATTTAGGGCTGATTCTCAGCAGCAGAGCACCAGCAGAAAGATACATGGAACCACTGGGATGAGGAAGGAAAGTGACTCTGCAGGCAAGGCAGTGTCATAGTTAAGAATTATTCCAGGCTCAGCACCCATAGCACAGTGGTTATGGCACCAGCCATATACACCGGCCTGGGCCAACTAAATAACAATGACAACTGCATCAAAAAATAGCTGGGTGTTGTGGCAGGCACCTGTAATCCCAGCTACTTGGGAGGCTGAGGCAAGAGAATCGATTGTGCCCAAGAGTTTGAGATTGTTGTGAGCTGTGATGCCGTGGGGCAACAGCTTGAGTCTCTGTCTCAAAAAAAAGAAAGAAAGAAAGAACTCCAAACAAAAAAATGGCACAGGATTTTTGTACTTTCAGGTTTAAAAGCATTGGGAATGTAGTGTGGAGGACAAAACTTTGGCCTTTCCACAACATTCTATGGTTTATAGGGACAATAGGACAGAATATGGGAAATTGGAACTTCTACACAAAATACAGGCTAGTTAGTGACTTATAAACTGTTTAATGGGATGGGAGGGGAAAAACAGAAAATAATATTAGGACAAGCTAATTGAGAAGTCTATCTTTAAACTGTTATTTTCCACGGCTAACTTACTCAGAGATATATTCTATCTCAAACTAAGTGCTTCTTAAAGAAAAGAATGTTAATTGTACAAGAACATCAGCCAAACATTTAACACGATCATATAATGAACTTGCCACCAGGTTATCAGAGCTACTGATAAATCCAGTTGATGATCCTTAAAGGAGAATACGAGGTCTACAGACAGCGTTCCCAAGTTCAACATGGGCTCCGGGCTCTTACCAGCTTCTTTCTGCAGATTCCTTTCTATGTTAGACACACAAGATGCACAGGTCATGCCTTTGATTTGTAAAAAACATTTCTGCAGCCCCACTGTTCTGGTGGCTTGAAGGGCCTTTGGCAAGTGACTGGGCTCATGGCTTTGAGAAAGCTCCCCAGCATGGGGAGCCACTTCCCGCACAGACACAGGTGGGACACCTGTAGTTTGCACCATGGAAGTGCCACCACTGAGGTGTCCAACAGGGTTGAGAGAATAGTTCCCTAGGATAAAATGTCAGAAATAATTCAAATTAGAAGAACAAGTACTAATTTACTTTTCAGAACAAGAGGTTCACACCTGATAATATTCAGCTTAAAGCTCCTACAGAGGCTAAGCGGTGTTTCCATCTTTGTCTCTCTCTACCCACAACCAGAGGCAGGCCCACAATTACAGATACATGAAAACATGCCAATACTTCAAGAAGAATTGTTCTGATTAGGCAAATGGTCTAATTAGATGATGATAATATCAATAATAATTCAGCAAGCAGTCTGCTAAGTACATTACATGTGTGCCCTCCTTTGATCACTAATATAGCCCCATGTGGTAAGTACTATTATCTTCATCTTACAGATGAAGAAATTAGTTACAAGAAATTAATTTGTCTCAGATCCCTCTCATCTCCAGGCTCTGTCCTTCTAGCCACTCCCTCATTCTGGCTAACAGAGATCTGGCTCCTCTCCATGAGAACCGCCTTTATTGAGGGGTTTGCCTTTTCACTGTTAGTATGAGGTGTATAAGTATTCTAGGTATGTGTATATGTACGAGGTGTATATGTATTCTAGGTTTGCCTTTTCACTGTTAGTACAAGGTGTATATGTATTCTAGGTATGCGTATATGTACGAGGTGTATATGTATTCTAGGTTTGCCTTTTCACTGTTAGTACAAGGTGTATATGTATTCTAGGTATGCATATATGTACGAGGTGTATATGTATTCTAGGTTTGCCTTTTCACTGTTAGTACAAGGTATATATGTATTCTAGGTATGCATATATGTACGAGGTGTATATGTATTCTAGGTTTGCCTTTTCACTGTTAGTACGAGGTGTATATGTATTCTAGGTATGCGTATATGTACGAGGTGTATATGTATTCTAAGTATGCATCTTTTGTCAGCTGCATGTATTGCAAAAATCTCCTCCCAGTTACACTTTTAGTATCTTTTGATAAAAGAAGTCCTTAATGAAGTCCAAATTATCCATATTAATAGTATTTTTGTGGCTCAGTGCCTGTGGCTCAAGCAGCCAGGGCACTAGCCACATACTGGCAGGTTCAAATCCAGACTGGGCCTGTCAAACAACAGTGACAACTACAACCAAAAAATGGCCAGGTGAAGTGGCAGGCGCCTGTAGTCCCAGCTGCTTGGGAGGCTAAGGCAAGAGAATCACTTAATCCCAAGAGTTTGAGGTTGCTGTGAGGGTAACGCCACGAGACTCCCCCCAGGGAGACAGCTTGAGACTCTGTCTCAAAGAAAAAAAAAGGTATTTTTTGTGCCTTGTTAATAGATTTGTCTACTCAACAGTGAGCTTGAAACTATCCGTGATGTTTGCTTCTCAAAGCTCTATCGCTTTAAACCCCCACATTAAAGTCTACAGTGCATGTCAATTCTTTCCTGTGCAGAGTTTGAGGTGATTTTTTTAGTCACGGCGTCTGGGCCCTCAGCCTGTGAGGGAATGGTGCCTTTGGAGTAATACCTATTTACCAGGATGGGACATTACTTTAATATTCATTCACTCATTCGCTCAAAAAAACATTTACCACACAAACGAGTGAGCAAACCTAGAGCTGCCTTCTAGGCAAAAACCAGGTCTAAATGTATTTTCAGTGGGGTAAATTTCAATGCTTGTCCCTGCCCGTCTGCTTGCAAGCTGTTCCCCTCCCTGCCATCACCCTGCAAACCACTCTTCCCAGGCTTCCTTGCCAACTTGTTTCTGATTACACTTGTCCGTGGGAGGTAACAAATGGAACAGGGGGAAAACCCAAAGTGTTTCTGCCTCTACGAGGGTCCCAACTCCTCCTGTCGCCTGTCCCTTCTAGGGTTCCAGTGGTCCCAGTTACCACCAACTAACCTCAGCCCCAGGGCCCCAGTAACTCTCCTTGGTCTCTGAGATCCTTCAGCCCTCGAGGAGTTGGTTTCCTGGGGTTTTCAACTCTGAGACCTTTGTTACTCGGTGCCTGTCACAGCCCACACAGCTTCCTCTCTCACTGCCTTCACAAATACCTACTCTGTGCTGGGTGCTAGAAGAGTCCTAGGAGAAAAAAAATCATGCTGGTTTGAAGACTGTCATCAAGGGCCTCCTAATCAATCAAGAACTAATCAAATACAAATATCATTTTGGCATTTAAGAGGTTATAAAAGACAGTTATTGGCACACTAATAGTTTATTCTAAATTAAAGTTGCTGTTGCCACGTATAATGCAAGACACTCAGTTAAATTTGAATTTCAGATAAACAATAAATAATTTTTTTTTTTTTGAGACAGAGCCTCAAGCTGTTCCCCTGGGTAGAGTGCCATGGCTTCACTGCTCACAGCAACCTCCAACTCCCGGGCTCAAGCAAGTCTCCTGCCTCAGCCTTCGAAGTAGCTGGGAC